CATATTTTTCATGTTCGCTGCGCTAGTCACAAGATTCAATAAACTTTCTCGTTTACCTCGGTTTCCCCGTCTGAGATTTTTCCAGCCGCATTCAGCCACTCTCGTTCTTTTCCAACTGAAAGTCCTAAATCCTGCACGACGCAAAATTTCATCGATATTCTCTAATAAATTCGAATCGGTCGTTCGAGATTCCCAGTTCTAGTTGTAAATATTCAAAGTTTTTATTCCAATCAGTTTTTCTCCCTCCTGCTTCAGTTCTCCCGCTCATCTCCGTCCCCGTCTCTAACCCTCGGTTTCATTCTAACACGGTCGCATCGCGAGAAGAAGGAACAATCGAAGTTTTACTTGAGATGGATTTCCGGACGAGAAAAAAAAAGAAACTTCCTCGATGTTCGAGAAGGCTCGTGCCTGAAATCATATCTTGAAATTCTCAATGGGCTGTTGCGGTAAATTTCGGCGCGGAACCTCTCCCGAGCAGCTTGTGATTTACGCCCGAGGTAAATCATCTTGCGTTATGCGTGCCTTTCAAACTACAACGAGCCCTTTCGCCACTCAAGATGTAAAACCGCAACGGGAAGAAACAAGCCGATACCCTCAAGCCCAATTTTACGTCTTAACAATCATTTTTTTCCAAATCGCGCAATATTCCCTTGTCTCGTTTATCTTACGCTTATTAATCTTCGTCAATTTCCGGTATACTTTGCCCGTCAATGTATCGGTTGAGAAATTACAAGTGCATACGTAAATGTTGACCAAAAAAAGAATGTTCTCGATAATCGACAATAATGTTCTTTACCAGAAGAAAAAAGAAATCTTTCCACAAATAACGTAATAATCGATAACAGTTTGTTACAGCTGCGTGAAGGTTTACACAATGGAACTCATACAAAGGAAGTAAATTAGTTCGCGGAATAAGCGCATCAATTTTCCGAGAAAATAATCGGTCGAGTAGAATTGCCTCTGGCGGTAGCTCCATAACGCGGAGTGCAAAGTATCGATATCATTCGTACGCGACTCTTTTCACCGGCATGCAAGACGCGCGACAATCGCGTTCGATGACGTACGAGTAGGTAGGGGAAATTAAATTAAATTTAAATTAAGTTCAATTAATTAAGCTGCTCGCCCCGTGGGAACTACGCTTCTGCGCTCGCTCGTTGTCCCTGAAATTCACCTCCTGTGAAAGGGCTGCCTGAGAGGATAGTGATCCTTGCGTCTGGCGCCGGATACGGAACTAATCTCTTTTAAATTAGTATTAAATTCTAAACGGTCTCGAGTCCGTGCGCGGTGTTATTAAATTCCGCTGCGGTGCCACGTGTTGCCGTGAAATTTTCTCGCTTCGAGCGAGTCGGGCCCGATGTTTTACACCGATCATAAATACCGGTGGACTCTTCCATTACGCTCCGGCGGCGTTACGATTTCCGCAATATACGGTATAATCTTTCATCTCCGAAATTGTCTCGACAAGATTTAAAGAGCGCTTCGAAACATCTGTGGATTTTTAATGATATGCGATTAATAACGTCGTATATTCAGTCCCGCTAACACTGTCAAAACACAAGAATTATAAAAACGAATAATTCAGAGTTATGATAAGTTTATGATATTTTGAGCATGCCGATAAAGGCACTAATTGCAATAAGATATAACTCTAATTTCTCATGATCATAATTTCTCCTAGCAAACAGCCTTTTAGCAAAACAGTTTAATATAACGGCGGAGAGAATAAGCTCCACACGATCTCGCGCATCCATTCGTTCATTATTTTCCTAAACTTGCATTCCGCTACAATTTGATCTGGGATCGCATACATCGGATCGTAACCGATGCTGTAAGTGGCAGGTCGCAAGACACTGCCACCAAAAGAGATATACGATAACGACAGACAATTCGAGCGAGCTTTCGAACGCCGTCGTCGGTACCGTGCCAAAGAGCTGAGACTACCTGCCCTAGCCTACACTGCCGTTCTAATAGCTGCTACTATACACACACATACACATACACATATGCACAACTACTAGCTACTGCACACACATACTCGCGTATATATGTACCTTGGTATTTAAGCAACCAATTACGTCGTATACCGAGCGATCGTAACGGAGGATCGTAATATGGAAGCGGCGACTGTGCCGGTGCTACCTTATAAATTTCACAGAATTGGCTGCACCGAAGAGTCACGAGGCACGCATAGCCAGCAAAAATGATACCGGGTGCGGTATTAAAATTTTCCGAAAATAAATGCCGCTGCTGCCGCATATATTATGCGTCGCAATTTGCTATGCGATTACGTGCACTTTCGCGTGCTAACTATCGATAATGCGATTAATATTGCAATATCTGCATTTTCGAAATGAATAACTTAAAGAATAAAGAATATTGGAAAATTTTACAAGATAACATAATCATAGGACAGTGTTAATTGATTAATACAGTTTACATATCGACATATTGATTATGAAAGAATTTCTCATTAACGATAAAAATGTTTTGTAATAAGAATATTTCTTGAAATATTTTAAAATTTATAATTTTTTAAATCTTTCTATCATCCGACACTTATAATGTTTGGGTATGAAAAACTATATAACGCGTGAGACCAGTCACGAATTATCAGTCTAGAATTATTTATGTGCACAATTTTTTATTTAGGGAAGCTTTTAATTTCTTATTTTAAAACACGTTTTAATGCACTCGGAAGTTTCTTTTTAGTTTAAAACAAGCGCAATTGTACCTTCAGAGTTTTCTTTCTGGAAATAGTCGCTAACATAGACATTTCTCTCTCGCACTAATAGAACGCATCTACCTACGTCGCAACTTGAAACTTGCAAAATATTCTCTAGAAGTTGTGGCTATGCGCCGTCTCGAGGTCACGTTTCTGGCTAGAGGCTGGCCTCGCGGAGGCTGAAAAATGAATCTTCTGCACTGTGAGACGAGATAGGTGCCGGGACGGTCATACATTTCGTACGAAAGGGTCTTCCTCAGTTTGACTTCTTTTGGGTAACTGGAACTATATTGCAAGCCAACGTGTAGAATTGCTACTGGTTCATATTTCACGACGATGGATTAGAAGTAGTCGTCGATGCGGACTTTGTAAAGTTATTTGTTCAATAATGCAATCAAACAATGCAATTATCCATTAATTATTACATAGCGTATCAAAATTACAGACTAATGAATATATCGTTGTTACCTGATTAATTGTCATATTGCAAAATTATTTTTACATTATGCAAATTATTGGTCTCGCGCTTCTTTATCTTTTCTTTATTTTTATTCCTGCTTCATCGCGTTAAAATAACATGCTATAAACAAGTAAAACGATATCATAAATCGAGCGATCTAGCTGCTTCGAGTAAATAAACGCTCTGCGGAACTCTTTTGCGCCAGCGTACTGATGAAACTTTAACTTCGATAATCCACCCTTCGTACTTTCGGTGCGAGCCCTGCCTTTCTTTCGTATGCCAACCGAAGTACATCCTTACGCAGCCCTCGATCCTTTATATCTTCTGACTACCCGAAGTAAATAAATCACCGCGCCGCTTCAATATGTTCAGCGCCAAACAGCGATTACTCACGTTAAATAAATAGGCGATAAGTACGGTGATTATTACGTTGAGAGGCAATTCGTAAGCGCTCGTTAGGTAGTCGAAAAGGATAATTGCTCGACTGCTTGTTGTAATAATAGTCAGTAATTTATCATAATCGCAAATAAACACCTTTCATAAACTTACTTGCTCAAGTAATTTGAAATAATTGTATTAAATATGTAAGGAATTGAAAAGCAATGATGTAGTAAGTCTACAGTAAATATCATACTCGCAGTTG